CCGCTCGTATGCTCCTGTATGATGACCCAGCGTGGAAGGTAGCAGTGGCGCCCGTCATTCAATATTCCAAGGCAGTATGGAACTCAATTGTGCATCCTGATCGTGCTGTGCTCTCGTGGAGGTTCTTGCAGAAGACGTGGGATGCTGTAGCCGCGAAGTCTCCAGTCTTGCAGCAGTCGCAGTGGAATAAGAGTGCAGGCCCCATTCACCGTGCCATGTTGTGTTTGCATCGCCTAGGATGGAAGTTCACCAACTTTAAGACCTTCTTCGATGACAACCAGATAGAGCATGATTTGTTTTTCACCTCTCCTGCCTTGCTTGCCAAGCAGTTGCATGCTAGTATTCTTCGCCATCATGGCCGTTGCTTTGCTGCCACTCTAACGCAGGGGCAGGGGCAGGAGGTTGCCGCAGATTTGATTGTCCAAGCTGTCCGTTCTAAGAAATTCTCGGCGCTGCAAAAGCATGTTGTAGCCTCCGTCTTTGCTGGGGGCATGTGGACCGAGGACCGCCTTGTGCAGCATGGCTTTGAATCAACAGGTCTATGCCCCTTGTGCTCCCAGCCAGATTCAATTCATCATCGTCTCTGGTGCTGCCCTGCTGTGGCCGCCGCTAGGGATGAGGCGACGTCGGCAGAGATTGCAGCTGATGCGCGCGAGGAGCCCGGAGATCTCCTGTGGTCCAGGCTCCTGGTGTTCCAACCTCGCCCCGACGAGTTCCCTCCTCCCTCCTCTGAGTTGTTCCCTGTCTTCCAGGATGCCCAGGGCAACCCTGTGTCCCAGGAGACCTTCCAGGAGCTCAGCGCGGGATGTGATGTTTGTGTTGACGGCAGTGCAACTCGAACTGAATTCGCCCGTCTCAATCGAGCGGCTTATGCCGCGGTCTTTCTGGAGAATTCTGAGCAGTGCGAAGTCCGATGTAGGATGCAGGGTGTGGTGTGGGAGTCCTTACCCCAGACGGCGCCGTCCGCCGAACACCTTGCCCTAGCTATGCTTTCCATCTTCCAACGGGGCCCAGGGACCACGAGGCCGTTTTCCGATTGTTTGGGCGCTGTGCGCTTGACTCAAAAGCCTGCCCCCGCCCAGCTTAACGGTTCCCAAGTTTTTGCTGGTCTGCGCCGTGGTGCGCTCCAGCATCCAGGGCACGCACACATCGGGCACGTTAGTCATACCCGTGCCCATCGCTCTGAAGAAGTCATCTCCGCGCTCCCACCTGATGAGGAAAGGATCGCGCGTGGCAACCAGATGGCCGATTTGTTAGCCAAGGATGCCCTTTCCCTCCACCCCCGTGCCCCTCCCGCCACCTCGGAGTTGCATGGGCTTATGGTCAAACGCCTCCGCGCCGCCATTCGTGTGGCGGCGGCGGTCCTTCCCGCTTTCCCGCTCCCATCCTTTAAGAAGATCAAGGTGCCGAGCATAACGCGTGTTGTGTCGTGGCACGAGTGGTGTCGTGTGGGGAGTTGGAAGTTGCGTTGTGCTCGGTGCCTTGGGGCTTGCCCTGAGCAGGACGAGCGACCCCTCAATCAGTGCCCAGGCCCCCCTCCGCTCCTTGTAAAGTTGCGTGAGTGTGAAGGGGTGGGCGGCCACGTCCTGAGGGCGTGCTGGACGGCACGCGATCAGGTCCTAGTGTATTGCTGTAAATGCGGGGCCTATGCAGAGGAGAGGTCGAGTGGCGCCCTCTTCAAGACTTGTCGCCCTGCCTTGACGCCCCAGCGGGCGTATGATCGACGGCGCCTGGAGGCTGGGCTTCACCCGCACTCGCGTCGGCGTGAGGAGACCCTCCAGGCGCCGACCCCTCTCGAGTCCGACCTCATTCGGCGGTTGGTGGGTGGGACGGCTGGGTGGGCGGACGTCTCCTCCTCCTCCTCCGTCACTGCTGCCATCATTCGGAATCCTCGAATGGATGCGCTCGTGGCCCGTTTGCAGGCCAAGTTTTGGCAGTCGTCTTCGGGCTCGTAAGCCCTGCTCGGCGCGGGTCGGATTCGAGTTTTGCCGCCTTTTTGGCGTGTCGGATCCGTTCCTCCGTGTCGTGTAGGCCGCCCGTCGCCGTACCGTTGACGTTCCTTCTTGTTTGGGTCCTCCTCCTCCTCCTCCTCCTCCTCCTCCTCCTCCTCCTCCTCTTCGTTCTCCTCGTTCTCCTCCTCCTCCTCCTCCTCCTCCTCCTCCTCCTCCTCCCTCTCCTCTTCCTCCTCCTCCTCCCTGTCCTCTCCTGGGCGCGCCAGCCGCGGCCCAGGCAGCGTTGTGGCCGCGCTTTTTCTGCCCGCGCGCCCTGCAGGGATGCACGGCTTTCGTCCTAGCTTGCTCGCATCTCCTAGGGAGCCCACAGAGGACGCACGCGCCCGACCATGTACTTGAGCACGGCCCCTCCATCCGCGAGACCGGCCGCATGATGCGAAGAGTCGCGCAGTGCGTACGCTCGAA